AAAATGGGCGTCTCACCCAAGACATCCTCGAAAAAATGGGATGCCGACAGAGCCCTTGTAAGGCATCTTTTCGGAGCGATTTCGGATGACCCCGAAGATGGCCCAAGAAGCGAAAATATTGAAAAACCAATGTGTTTCACACACGTTCGTTGAAAAATCAACGTTTCGCTCGAGACATCCTCCCAAAAAATCCTCTTCCTCCTCCTCCTCCTCCTCCTCCTCCTCCTCCTCTTCCTCCTCCTCCTCCTTTCCTCCTCCTCTCCTTCTCCTCCTCCTCCTCCTCCTCCTCCTCCTCCTTCTGTTGTTCTTCCTCCTCCTCCTCCTCCTCCTCCTCCTCCTCGTCCTCTTCCTCATCTTCCTCCTCCTCCTCCTCCTCGCCTTCTTCCTACTTCTCCTTCCTCCTCCTCCTCCTCCTCCTCCTCCTCCTCCTCCTCCTTCTCCTCCTCGTCGGTCTTCTCCTCGGTCCTCCTCCTCCTCCTCCTCCTCCTCCTCCTCCTCCTCCTCCTCCTCCTCTCCTCCTCCTCTCTCCTCTGGCTCTGCTCGTCTTCGCCGTCGTCTTCCTCATGCATAGGAGTGGTGAGGATACTCAGGAATATGCTTGTGAACCTTCGGGGGGCGCGTGTCCATACGTATCCCTTGTGAGCGTTCGGAGAGCTCGCCTATACTACATTTGATCGCGTTGATGCTGCAAGTTCTTGCGTAAGTCGTCTCTTTAACGCGCTTCCCGTTCATGCCAGGAAAGGTTTTCGGATCCTCGAAAATGGGCGTCTCGCCCAAGACATCCTCGAAAAACTGGGATGCTGACAGAGCTCTTGTAAGGCATCTTTTCGGAGCGATTTCGGATGACCCCGAAGATGGCCCAAGAAGCGAAAATGTTGAAAAACCAATGTGTTTTACACACGTTCGTTGAAAAATCAGCGTTTCGCTCGAGACATCCTCCCAACAAATCCTCTTCCTCCTTCTCCTCCTCCTCTTCCTCCTCCTCCTTTTCCTCCTTCTCCTTCTCCTTCTCCTTCTCCTCCTCCTCCTCCTCCTCCTCCTCCTTCTGTTTTTCTTTCTCCTCCTCCTCCTCCTCCTCCTCGTCCTCTTCCTCATCTTCCTCCTCCTCCTCGCCTTCTTCCTACTTCTCCTTCCTCCTCCTCCTCCTCCTCCTCCTCCTCCTCGTCGGTCTTCTCCTCTTCCTCTTCCTCCTCTTTCTCCGCCAACTCCTCCTCCTCCTCCTGTTCCTCCTCCTCCTCCTCCTCCTGCTCCTGTTCCTCTTCCTCGTCCTCCTCCCCCTCCTCCTCCTCGCCCTCTTCTTCTGCTGCTGCTGCTGATGCTGCTCCTTCTCCCTCCTCCTCCTTCCTCCTCCTCTCCTCCTCCTCCTCCTCCTCCTCCTCCTCCTCCTCCTCCTCCTCCTCCTCCTCATCCTCCTCCTCCTCCTCCTCTCCCTTCTTCCCCTGGTCGTCGTCTTTGCCGTCGTCTTCCTCATGCGGAGGAGTGGTGAGGATACTCAGGAATATGCTTGTGAACGTTCGGGGGGCGCGTGTCCATACGTATCCCTTGTGAGCGTTCGGAGAGCTCGCCTATACTACATTTGATCGCGATGATGCTGCAAGTTCTTGCGTAAGTCTTCCCTTTCACGCGCTTCCCGTTCATGTCAGGAAAGGTTTCAAAAACGAGCGTTTCGCTCGAGACGTCCTCCCAAAATCGTGAAGTTGGGGGTCGTATCTTAAGACATATTTTGCCAAAAATGAGCGTTTCGCTCGGGACCACCATGTTAGATACCCACCTGTGGCCTGGACACGGAGAAACGTGGTACCAGCTCGGGACCACCATGTTAGATACCATTAGATACCCACCTGGGTTCCCGTGGACACGTGAAGCGACGTGGTTCCAGCTCGGGCAGAACATGTTAGATACCCCCCTTTGTGGCCAAGGACATCCTGGAAAAAACAAACGAATTAGTCGAGAAATCCTCTAAATTCCTGCGCGCGGGGCGCGGCGCGCGCGAGACCTCCTCGGAATTCCTGCGCGCGTGGCGCTTTTCCGCGTCGCGGTCGGGGCTCCAGGCCTTGTTATTTCTTGTGGATTCCGCGCAAAACGCGCCGCGCCCTCCTTTTTACGAAAAGGAAAACGGTGGTCTGCGGACCCTGTCATTTACCGAGGATCCGAGCGGGCACGCGGAAAACGCATGTGTTCAACTTAAAACATCTAACTTCACTTCGTTGTTTACTGCAGAAGAACTTCGCCAGCCCTGCAGCGGTCAACACCGGGGGGAAACAAAACGAAAAGAGAACCCTGGGCCTAAGCCCCTTCCGGGAAAAATCGCCTGCCATCGGCCGTGGCAATCGGTCCCTTGTCCTGTCGATGCCTGTGTCCTTCTATTTCCCTAGACCTTCGGGCATGGACAGACCCCCCTGTAGTAAAACGTCGTTTAGTGAAAACGACCTGAGGCCCAAACCTGGCGGGCGCAAGCCTGGAACATAACGGCCACGGCGCCCTCTCGAGAACCGAAAACAGACAATTCACTAATCGACGTGTCACTGTTGGGGGTTCTGTCCACCCCCGAGCGTTTCAACATTGGGCGGCAAGGGGGGGGAGGAGGGGGGGGTCTGGCTCCGGACCTCTGCTTAGTGCGACTGCTTGCAGCCGTGCGTCACATCAAGGGAGACTCTACCTGCTCGAAACAGGCGCCAACAACAGCCAAGATCCACTCCAGGGGGGGGAGGGGGGGGTGCGAGGGCCCGCGCCGATCGGCAAAACAATGAATACGAAAACGATCACAAATGAACCCTGGGGTAGACCATTTCCGCGGGGCCCAGAGTTCATCACGGGTCGTTTTTGTGACGGTCCCGAGGCCCGGCAAGGACCCACGGATGCCGAAGACGGCCCCTGAATCAATCTCTGTTGTTCGGCGGCGGGCGAGGGGGGGAAATGAGAAGGAGAAGGCCTCCTCAGAAGGCGCCAGGACTTGTCAGGAACCCTCGCGCCTTCTGAGAAACCTCCTGTGTATTCGGGGAAGGCTGTGGAAACTTCTCAGGAGGCGGGGGAACTTCCGAGCCTTCTGAGAAAGCCCGCCCTTTCTCACTTCCCCCCCGAGCTCGACGCCCACTTGTGACATGCTTGCCATACGCCCGTGTGGCTGTGCGGCGTGCTGTGCTACGTCGCGCGAGGCGAACCGCAAATGCTGCATGAGGCTGCGCTGCGAGGCCCACCGTCAGAACCACCGCCATCGGACAACGCACACGAATCGCGCAAACCAGGCGGGGAATATGTCAGTCGATGTTTATCATACAGTCGGGGCGTTGACCTAAGGAACCCTAAATAAGGAACGAGGCCCCTTTTTTCCATAAGTTGACCTTCGATTTCCTATCGAAAACATAAAGAAAGCCTGAGGCAAGCTGTGAAACACTTAAGGAACGCAGAGCCCCTCCCCAACGAAAAGGGTTCCTTCTTCAGGGCCCTGACTTTTATGTCAATCGATGTGTATCCAAATTATCCCCGCTCGATTTCGTTGGTTTGTGTTTGATTGCATATGCCATCGCACCAGCCGGCGAACTCCCAGCCAGTCTCCATGTCATGACGCTTCAGGGCGTCGCAAGGCTGGGCTCCGATGCTTCCTCTTGGGTCGTCTATGGGGACCTCCGACGGTACCCCCCCGAAGACTCTGAAGTAAATATCTGGCCGCCTCCAATTTAAGGATGTCTCGGACGAAATGCTCATTTTTTGAGAAAGCGCGAATACTAGGCGTCATGCTCTGCTGCTGTCCCTTGAGTCGTCTTGGGGGCCCTGCGAGAGACTCCAAAACAATGTCGGACGAAACTTATTTTGACACCTTCATGTTTGAAGATGTTCCGGACGAGACCCTCATTCTTGAGGACGACGCTATTCCGCAAGCCCTCTGGACATTTCAATTTCCTGAGTGTGCCTGCAGCGAAAATTGCATGTTTATCAAAAGGGCCTATCCGCCACCATGCCTCTGGGCACGGAGTGGGCGTGTCCACAGGCCCTTTGCCTAATCCCTTCCAACTCAGTCCTTAGTCCTGAGGAGTCTTCAAGGGGCCCGGGCCCAAAATGTTCAAATCACCAAGGTTTCCTGGCGTATCCCCTTGGCTCCCCCGCGGCTTCCCGCACGACAGTTTTCGGTTGCAAGACGGCCCCGAGATGGGCCAAGAGGGCCCCAAAAGGCCCCCAAGGCGGTGGTCCAAGAGGGCCCCGGGTCGCCGAAAGATCGCTCCAAGACGCCTAAGATGGCCCCAAGATGGCCCCAAAGCCCCAAGAGGCGTCCAAGAGGCATCCCAAAAGGCACACATCATTGATGCTGCCTAGGTTTTGAAAGAGTTTGGCGTTCTCGTCTTTTTATACTTTCCGACGCTACAAGATGTCCCAAGAGGTCCCCAAGACCACCCCAAAACGGCCACAGAGGCCTCCAAGAAGGCCTCAAGACGTCCTAAGAGGCGCCGAAGACGCCCTATGAGGGTCCCAAGACGGCCCCCAGCTGGGCCCAAGACGGGCCTAAGAGAAGGAACCGCCCCAAGAAGACCCAGGAGGCCTCCAGGGGCCCAACAGAAGCCTCTGTGAGGCACCAAAACGGCCTCCAAGAGGCCTCAACCTGCCTCCAAGGACGCCCCCGAGAGGCCTCGCGAAATTCCACGTTTGGATAGCCGACGTCACAAAACACACTCTGCACCACCCCATGTGTAAAAACAACTACGGGCAAAATCAATGAGAAAATCAACACCGGAAGGTCGGAAGGTCCCAATAGCGCTGGGGGCCTCAGTCGTGCTCGTCCACCTCCTCTCTGGTGTCCGCCCTGCAGCATAGCGCTGGTGTTTGCGCTGTCGTGACAGCCAGCAGCGCGGGCCAACGCGAACTCCAGCTCAGCGTGCCTTCTTCCCCCCTCTGTCGCGGAGCGTTCTCGACGGAGGGAAGATGCTGGAAAGCCTGCCGATGCAGGAGGAAGACCGCCGAGGACCGACGACGCGCCCGAGCGCGTTGGGCACTGCAGGGCGCCGCGCCTCTTTGGCCCTCGACTGCATGAAGCCCGCCAGGGCCGCCAGGTCGTCCTCGAGGGGGGACGTCAGGGAAGGCTCGGCCCAGAGGGGGGACGCGTCGACCTGGAATCGGCGATGCACCGCCGATGGATCGTTGATAGGGCCCCCGATAGCCAATCCGCACGCTCCTGGGCGCATGGGCCATCATTGGCCTATCGGCGGCGATGAGTGGGCCATTGCGAAACGATGCGTCCGCTCTTCGGCTGGCCCCCCCGCCTACTCGCAAGAGTGACCCTGGGCAGGAATGACCTTTGGCGGGCGGCTTCCGCGAAGGGGCCAGATCCGAGCGCGCAAACCAATGCTGGGGGGACCGCTGTGGGCCCGCACCGGAGGCCACTCCGGCTTTGGGAGGAGCCTGGGGGGTCTGACCTGGCTGGATCCCAAATCCTTGGGATCCGACGGCGCGAAAAAATAATATATATATATATATATATATATATATATATATATATATAGTTGACGAACCAACAACACACACCCATACCCATAATTAGAGGGGTCGGGTAAGGGCTATGGGTGCGTGTTGTCGGATGGGGGTCCCCGCTCGAACGGGAGCATTCCCCAGGGTCCGACAACCCGCACCCATAACCATAGCCAGTCCTCCTCCCAACGACCCCCCTATGGGTATGGGTGTCTGTTGCTCGTTCGTCAATGATGAAAAAGCGACAGGGAGCCCCATACTCGATTTTGTCTGCGCCATCTTTCGATCTGGATCGATCTGTGAGGGTCCCCGGGTCCGAAGCCTAACGTACACGCCCGGCTCGAAAAAACTGAGACGCAAGGATCCCAGGGATAATCGGTCAGGAAGGGGTACGACGCCAAACCCGATAAAAATTATGTCCCCAGACCCCTCCCGGGGTCCATCTGGTGCATTTGTTTATCCTGTTTTTTGGGGGGACGGCCCCACGAGGCCCGAAAAAACGGCACCTAGAGGCCGAACGATGCAACGCAAACCTCGCCGAAACCAGCGCCCCGAGCGTGCCCGCCCATTGTACTGGCCCGAACCAGTGCCGGGACACCGCCGCCTCAGACCCCCAGCCGGCCCCAAACTGCAGCGCAGGCTCCCTCTTGGAGGCTGCTCAACTCCTGACCTTCGCAAGCTCACTTGCGTGGAAGGGAAAGGGGGGGGGGGCGCGACGAGGCCCAAATGGAAATCTGGCCTTCACGCAAGTCGGTACGCACTCGCGCGCCCCCCCGCTCGGCCCAGCGCCGTTGGAAAAGGCGGCGGAAAAGGGGGAACTGCCACGCAAGTAAGCTTGCCCGACAATGGATTTGAAACGGCCGCCTACGTGCAAGCGATTCCCCCCTAACGTTGCCCCTGGGTCCTTCTGCGTGCACTGGCTTGGCAGGCAGCCCTGGCCCGTGACGTGATGCAAGGACCTGGCGACGGCCACCGTCGCCGCTGCCGCGCAGAGGAGGACCGAAGAACCGGAGAGGAGTTCAGTTCTCAAGCCCTCCAAGACACTCTTCTGAAGCTCTAAAAACACTGGCTCGGGCCGGGGCACGAAAGACATTTCAGCACGCCCCCTTCGACTAATCACCATTCGGCAACCATGCTGCTACCTGCAACACCTGCAAATTACTACAGTGTGCTGCTGCTGCCTGAAGAAGGAGGACGCTACGAGACTATGACACTGCTCGCCCCGACGCGCGCACACTCGTCGCGAGTCGTCCGCATCGCACAACCCGAGCTCGTGTAACAAGCGTCCTGATGACTCTGACCCACAACCCAGGCACGGTGGCGGAACAAACCGAAAGCCATAACATGCTACATCTATTGCGCCGCATATGGTGACCCCCCCAAAAAAAAAACGCCGGTTACCGCGCCTCTGTGCCGGTCACCCGCTGACGCTGTCTGCGTCTCAATGAAAAGGCATTTTGTCCCTGGCATGTGCATACGCCACTGCGGCCAATTTACATCGTACCGCGCCCCGGACGTTGTGCCCGTTCCCTGGGCTTCTCCTTGGAGCCGCGAGCCAAACAAAATATGGTGAAACCCCAAGTGATCGTACATATCACGAATTGTACTTAAACTGCATCGCGTAGACCGCAACATACACATACTGCACTACGAACGTTACATCCCGAACGAAATATATATATATATATATATATATATATATATTGCACCGCATGTGTCTGTCAGCATGCACGTACTGCACAACACATACTGCAAATCGAACTTGCAAGGATCCACGGTCGCGCGGGCACAATAGCAGACTACAGCCGACTCGCAAGAACGAACACCGCGCAACATAACAGCCAGATCGTTGGCAGCAGCTACGCACGCACTCGGGCGCAGAACTGCTGCACGCACTCCTGCCGACGGTGGACACGGCGGGCACGACGGACATGCGCAGCGGGCACAAAATAAATGCTCCACGTCGCAACACTTTGGACGCCCGGATTGGGTACGGAAACAAAGGGTACAATGCCCAACAACAAATGCTGTCCCAAACCAACAGCGGCCGCTGTTGGGCAGGCGACCTCCTGTCTCGAAAGGACACAGGCCGCGGCGGCGTGGACAGCGAGTCCTGCTCACAGTGAACAAGAACTGCTGTTGGGCATTGTACCCACTCTTTCCGTACCCATGTCGGGCGTCCAAAAACTGTATTGATCCGCCGAAGGTCGAAGGCGAGCCTCTTCCGGTCGAAGCTAAGCGGGCCGCGCACAGCGGGCGTCCAAAAACACGAAGATGCCTGTCATCCCTCGCGCCTCCACCTCCATGCCGCGCGGGAAGGCCCTCTTGGAGGAGGAGGAGGAGGAGGAGAAGGAGGAGGAGGAGCAGGAGGAGGAGGAGGAGGAGGTGGAAGCGGAGGAGGAGGAAGAGGAGGTCGTGGCCACGGAGCCGACGGCCCGAGCCTCTGTCTGGCAGCGCGTGAGGTCTGTCCCGGACGGGCAGGGCGGCCAGCGGCACGGCCGTGCGAGCCCCGCGAGCACGGGACCCTGCTGCGGTGAATTCGGGCCTGTCCCCCTACACGGAGATTTTTTCGACGAGAAATGAAAAATACCCCAAGGAAAAATTGAACAATAATCCAAAAATGGTCAGGGGACCATTTTGGGGGCATTTTTTGACCTGTTTGAAATATTCTTGGGGTATCTTTTTTTTGTCGTCGAAAATCCATATGTAGGGGGACACGCCCGACCTAATGCTGCGGCGCCCCCTCTCGCGGAGCCCGGACAAACACGAACTGGCCCTGCAGATCCCAAAACCAAAGCGAGCGCTCTTCGCAACGCCGAGGCGAGACAGCTTGCATGAAATACCGGTGGCACCGCCAGCTGCTGCTGCTCCTCCCCTCGCACCTCCTGCCTCTCCCTCAGCCCCCCCTGCTCCCTCGCCCCTCCTCCGCACGCCGCTTGAATCCAAAATTATGGCATTCAGCTCACTTCTTCTTGCCGCCAGCCCCGCACTCCTCCTTGCGCTCGCAGGAGATGACCTTGCCCAGCATCACAACGCCGTTGCCGTCCATGAAAGCCACTCGCGACAGGCCCCCGCAGTTATTGAAGGTGTCGCGCACGACGACTGCGCTGGGGTAATTCACTTAGTACACGTACCCAGTGAAACATTTCATGAAGACGTCATAGAATCTTCAGCAGCTCGCCGAGCCACGTAAATATCAAAACCAAGCATTGCACCGCGAAGAGGCACAGCGCAAGGAAGGACCAGTCCATCAGCCCGCACACGGGCAGCGCCAGGACGAAAAAGTTCAAGGCCAGCACGATGTTGGCCAGCATGTTTGAGGCCCCGTTCCCCTCCCAGCGCGGCCCCTCCCAACGCACGACACCTGAACGGTGTAACTGAGAGGGGTGCGTGCGGGAAGGGAGGGGGCCTGGCCCAACTGAACAGGAGGAGCAGACTTTCTTCGAAGAACAAAAAGGTGCCGTCTGGCATCACAACGGATGCTAAAACTTTGAAAACATATCATAGCTCACGTTTGACTCATGTCCCTGCCCCTCGCTTCTCGTCCCTCTCAGCAGTCTGACAAGGCCCCCGTGGCAATTCTTTGGAATTCTGACTGCCCTGTCCAAAGGAAGCCAAGGATACGCATAGATGCAGTAGACCCGAGGGGGTACACGCTCCGTCGCATTAAAGCCATCGTGGGCACCCGCATGGGCTCTACGGGTCTACCCCCTCGCGAAATAGCATGACACTGATGGGCAGCGCGCAGTAGAAAATACATGTCGTCACCATTGGTGGAGACGTGGGTAAGAGCCACTCAGTCCGTCGATCAGGTGGTGCAAAGACCAGAGAGGAACGTGCGATGGCGCTTCATGGCTCTGCTTTCGCCGCACTTGGTGCATTTTATGGTCATGTCCGCCTGGTCCACGTCCAGGGAGTGGTGGGGCCGCGGGACCTGCTTAGCATTGTGCTCACGAGGTCGTTGATTAACCCTCTGGAGTCAAATGCCTGGCCGCCTTTGACACGGCTAAAGCTTGTGCTGCCTCTGGCGATCCCTGGCATGGCTCTCGCATCCACTTCGACATGGTGCGTATGACCGCACTTCTCCCACAATTGATACACTTCGCGCGTCGGTCGCCACTCCATGCGATGTGCTGGACGACGCGGAATCCTTTGTTTGCAGCCGTGCGGTTGTGTAACAATCTCTTCTCATTGGCATGGAGCTCGTGGCCTCCAAGACCGTGGAGCGCTGCTTGCTCGTGGGGTGTCCAAGTCGTCGCTGAGGCTGCCACGAGGATGGGGGCCGCTTTCTTGGGCTGAGATCCTTTCGCGGCTACTGCAGCGAGGGCTCTTTCTGAAATTGTCTTGGCCAAGTTTGAGGAAGTCAACTTGGGTGGTTCCCGGAGAGGTTCCGGCATCGACCCCCAGGTGGGTACAGCCGCTGCCGAAAAAAGATCTCGTAGTGGTAGTCATCGCTGTTTTGAAGATGACGGACATGGTCGCATCATGCATCAGAAAACGTGGGCGACAGAGAAAACCAACTGCATGGCGCACACCCAGCGGCACCAGGGAGCGCGCCGGCTTTGCCCCTATCGTGCGTGCGTGTACCCCTTGGAGAAAGGCAGGCCTGACACAACGCCGCCATGCGCAAGGCAGCCGCGCTAAAATACCTTGCCATTCTCTCCAGGGTCACATTCTCAGGGCCCTCACTTGGACCGCTCGGTGGTAGGCCCGTAGCGCTCGTAAAGCGAATCGAAAGTTCCATCCGCGTGGCACTGAGTGGTGCAATTTCCAAATCACTATCTCTCCATTTCAACTGCGAAAAGTACCCCACCAGTGCTGGGAAGAGCTGCTGCAGATAGAACCACTCGTTGGCCTTCAAAAGGTCCGGGATGGTAGGTCTGAACGCCCATGAGGCATTCGGTACCACTGGGTCCCACTCATATCCTGGAAAAGTCGTCCGCGGTGCCCATTCCAGACGGTTGTCAGTGAAGACTGGTGGTGCTGGACAGGGCGCCGCGCTGGCTGATGACGTAGATGTCGTGTACTGTGGAACCGATTGCCCCCCTCTCAGTCTTCGCGATATTGCGGTCGTCGAAGGGAAGGAGCTGGATGAACGAGTCCGAGCTGGTGTAGGAGTTCTCGAAAGCGAAGGGGCAGGCACTGGGGCATTGATACCTGACTGGACAGCTGCGCGCGAGTGGTCACACACAGGTGCTGCGTTGTCATCCTCGTCCATGCCCAAGTGCGCCCAGGGGCCATCTTCGTCCATGTCTGGTAGTTGGTCATTGAGGTCATCATATTCTTGGCGTCTCTCTGCCTGCAGGTGAGCGTGAATATGTTCAATTATGGCATCTCGGGCTTCGCGTCCTAGCGCCTTCAGCTTGGCAGCTCTGGCGCAGAAGACTCGCGCGGCAGTCACCTGGAAGAGAAACACACAACTGTTGATCGCGTAGGCGTTGCAGCAGAATAGGCGCTGGGAGCGCGTGTTGACGCGCTGCAAGCACAGTTCCTTCGTCTGCTGATCGATTGCATTCCCAAAAAGGACGCTCCTCATCCGCGATGTCGCCCTCTTTCTTGTGAGCCTTGTTTTTTTGTTGAATCGCAAAGTGCTCGACGCCCTTCGCTGGGGTGCCTCTCTGGATCGCAGCCCACAGGTCACGATGGGCGGCAGGTTTGACCTCTTCACCTCGTAGGATGGAAGTCACTAGTCGGACACAATATGAGGAATCCGTAAGATACAAGTGTGGGCACCAGGCCCAGCTTACCCAATGACGTAGGGCAGCTGCTTCAGCACGCTGGGCGCAATGGGCCACTGACAGCAAGGGCATGTTGATGTTCATGGCGTGGTTGGGGCCGTAGTAGAGGGAATACCCGCTACGTCTGAATCTGAGGTCGCTCGCTTGCCCAGGGCATGCGCCATCTCCTCCTACTACTTCGAACTGCTTTCCATTTATAATACTTACAATATCAACTTCATCACTGTCACCATGGTGTGGTGGCTGTGGGAGAGGAGGGTCTTCTGGTAGTAGCTGTGCACTGTATTGGTCGTACTAAGGGCGGTCCAAAAATCTGCCACAGTGAATAGTGCACACTGGTAACGCTTTCAGGGATTCAAGGGTGCACAAGTTCATCGTCAGCCCACGCAGGGCACTCGAACAGGATGTGGCCCATGTCCTCCACTGGGGAGCTGCAGAAAGGGCAAGCCCGATATTCCTCGCAATTCGTGATACGGGCAAGACGCGGTCCAGTGGCGAACGCGCCCTGCAGGTTACATCTCAGGAAGGGAAGCTCAGGCCCCGTCACCATTGGTACAGGGATGTCCTTGGTGCGGATGTTCAAGGACTCAGGGGCAAGGGGCCGCTGCGGTCGCTCATCTGCTTCTTCCTGTTCAAGATCTCCTTTTCGTTCTGCCGACGCTCGTTCAGCTCGACGAAGTACCGAGGTAGTGGCGTGGTAACTGATCTGGGCGAGGTCGGTCATATCCTCTCTGTTTGCCAATTGTTTGTCTGTTCTATGCACAAAGTGTCGCACGTCGTCGCGAAGTGCGTGGAGCCACCACCCCTGCGGTTGACCAATCATGGAGATGGTCTGCCCCGCGGGTCTCGTGAACGTGTCGACGTTCTCTGTCCAGGCCCAGTCCAAAGCCTTTGCTGCAGAGAGTAGACGACCCACAGGGCCTCCTGGGATAGGTTTGCATTGTTTGGTGCTGTACCACCCCCAATTCTGTTTGGCCATCTGCTCGAGTCGGGGGGCCGTCTTAGAGGGTAAAAGACCCCTCGCGATGTAGAAGAGTTGCCAAGGAGAAACTTTGAGTGGGTCTATGGAATGTCCTTTCAAAAGTAAAGTCATGGCGATGGCAGGTTTTCGAAGGAAGGTATCTTTCGTCCACAACGATCGAGTTACACTAGATCTGAGATTACTGCCGTTCTTCAAACCAAGCCCTCGAAACTCCTGGCCTGGTGCGAGTCTTGGTAGAGCAGCAGCCATTCATATCCTCTGCTTCCCTTTGAGGCCGACCGGTGCCATCTGGGAACGCTTGACAATCCGAAGTACACTTTTGAAGCGTCGATCTCTATAGACAGGGGGGCAGGGTCAATAAGTGCATAGCTCTCCACTCACCAACACAAAGTGAGTCGTGAGCTGCTGGTCGAAGCCGGGCACGATGTCAATCATGGCAACCTTCAGTTCTCTCCCGTACACCTTGGACGTGGCAGAGAACTTCGTATTCGTTTGATGCGTCTGTGTAACTGCATATGCATCAAAATAAAAAGAGGCTTTCGTCGCTAATGCCACCTGTCTCCCGTGGCCAGCTGCCGTGGAACGAAAACTGCCATCGACGATGAAGGTGAACCCCTTGAAATTCGCCGCATCCTCAATCATGACAGACCAAATGCTCATAATCGCCGGGGCCTGCTGTAAGCTCCAGCTGTCTCCTTGAAGGTGCCCGTTGGTGCGCTTCCACTCTGGAGAAATGAGCTTTCGTAGCTTTCCATCTGCATGTGAGGTTCGCGTAGAATAGCTGAGACGCTCGAACAAGCTTCTCAGGGGCACCTAGGCTCAGCATGAGGTTGTCCCCTATGCCGAACTCGTACCAGACAGTGAGGTGCCCGTGAGGCGCGAGTGTTCGATGGCCAAGGCTAGCTCATACGCAACCGTCTGGTAGTGGTATCCTGCACGTGCGCCTGCCGCTCCAGGGCGGAGCCATTCCTCTCGCCATTTCGTCGTATGAAGAAACCTCGCTCCAGTACTGGCTGTGTAATGTGGTGAGAGGTTCGTAATTAGACGTGTTTGATCAGCTTCAGCAACACACAGGTGGTCAGGGTCAATGTCTGCGGCATGGTCTGCTTCCACATCCCATGTGGGAAGACATGAGGTGATGCCCATCGTGAGTGCTCGAGGCCACTCGAGCCATTAAGTAGGGTGGCTTCCACACTTCATCTACTCGCTGGAGGAAGTCTGCCCGATATGCTAGACTCTCACCAGCGGAGGATCGTACTGCGTGAAGTGTGCCATACTGCCTTTGTTTTATCCAGGTGTAGAGTTCTCGCCCTCCCTCATATCGCATATACTCTCGTAGACGTGAACGCCAGTTGTTAATGCGAGATTCCATCCTTTCAAGAGTTAGCGCGTCTTGTCTCGCAACAAGATCTGTGTCCTATTTGAATAAAATAATATATTCAGGTACCTGTCGTGGGAGGTCTCATTGGAGTCTCAGCACGCGCTTGACCTGGGGGCTGACCTTGCAGCGCAAACGCTGTAGTCGGAGAGCGTCCTGAAGTTCAAAGTCACCATCTCTTGCCCGTGTGCCGCTCGCCATCTAGTAACGAAGTTCAACCACCCGGCCACGAAGATTCTCAAGCTTCCTGCGGCCCGCGGTGGTGGGGCACTCAGGCGCTATTTCTTGATGTCCACGGCTACGTCTTCCTCTACCAATGAAGGTGGGGAGCTCCGTCCGTGGCAACGATGGTCGAAAGGGCCAGCTGCAGCAAGTCGATGATCCAGAAAGTGCTCAGCAATCCGTCCTGCAACCTGCCAGGCAGCATCGGTATCATAATTCTCAAGGGCATCGTGGAAAGCGTCTCCATGTGTAACGATAGCTACTCTGCCCATCTCGTGCACGAGCGGCTGCTGCGGCTGGAAGCTGCACTGAGCCATCTCGTTGGACATGAGGGAGCGGGGGTCCTCCGTCTTCTCGCCGCCCGTATCCTTGCCCATCTTCCACTTCAGCTTGCTGATGCGGCACGCCGCGCACCCGCAGCGCACGAAGCCGATCGGGGAGTAGCCGACCTTGATCTCGTTGGGGATGTCCAGCACCTGGATCTGCGCGTCGAACTCCTTCGTCTGACCCAGGGTGGTGTCCTTCTTGTACACCACCACGTCGCCCGAGCGGGACATGTTGTTTTTGTCCAGGCCCTCGATGTTCAGGCCAACGTTGTCGCCAGGGTTGGCGAAGTCCACGCGCTGGTGGTGCATCTCCACGGTGAACACCTTGTCGGTGCACGGGTTCGAAGCGGCGCGCGCGGGCAAGAACGCAACCTCCTCGCCCGGCTTCACCATGCCCTGCTCCACGCGCCCGGCGAGCGCATCGCCGACACCCTTGATCTTGTAGATGCCAGAGATCGGCATCCGCATTGGGGCGCTGGTGGGCCTCTCTGGCACGCGGCACATGACGTCAAAAACGTCGTGCACGGTGTCCACGTGGATGGTCTCCTTGCCGTACTCGACATCGCAGTCCTTCCACCAGCCCACGTTGTCGGACTTCTTCAGCAGGTTGTCGCCGATCCAGCCAGAGATAGGCATCGCAGGCGCGCCCTTCTCGACGAAGTCCTTCTTCCACCCGACCTTGACCAGCATGCTCTTCATCTCGTTGGCAATCTCGTCGTAGCGGGACTGCTTGTCTGCCACCGCACTTGCGGAGATTGGTGTGCAAGGCCCTTGCGCTTTTGTCCCCCCCCCTCCCCGCCCCCCTTTGACTCGTGTGTCGTCCACTTGCGTAGTATTTGTCCCCCCGTCCCCAGCCCTGAACTCCCCCCCAAAGTCTGCCCCCCCCAAACGGTGACGGATTCGCGCGGCAGCGCAACTGGATATCCAGCGGTCTCGCAATCCATTTTGTTGTCGCCGATGCAGATCTGCTTCACGCCAAGCAAGTTGATCAGGCGGGAATGCTGGCGAGTTTGCCCCTGGATCTCGCCGGCCTTGCGGTTGCCCTTGGCGATGGCGGTGGTGAAATTACCGTCTGCCAGGACCATGATGAACGGAACGTTCGCCTGGGAAGCGCCAGTGATCATGTTCTTGATGAAGTCGCGATGGCCTGGGGCATCGATGACGGTGTAGTGCCTCTTCTCGGTGTAGAACTCCTTGGTGGTGCAAGTGCCGCCTGTCTGCCCAGCGAGTGAGCGGCGGTGCAGCTGCACTCCAGAAGTGCCGCAGACGCCCCCGGAGGAGCCGGCCCGCAGCACCGGCGAGGCTGCCAGCCCTGGGCCCGTGGACCCCGTTGCACCCGAGGGTGCCGGTGGCCGGCCCGGTGCGGAATGCCACGCAGCGCAGAAATCTTCGCGACCCCAGGAGAAGGGAAGGGAGGGGGAAAGGGGAAGGGCAGGGAAGGGAAAGGGGAGGAAGGGAAGGGGGAGGGGGGAGGGGGGGAGGGGGAGGGGAAGGGGGAAGCACGCGATTATCATCACGCTTGTGGCCCGCCGGGGCGGTCGACCGGGAACTGGTCGCAGGGCAGCTCGGCCTGCAGTCGCTTCGCGCGGCACGTCGCCATGTGCTTGACGGCGCTGGGCCGCCGGACAGCAGGAAGGCCGCAATGTGCACACTGTAACTGCCACTCGGCCATCGGCGGGCCGCTCTTGGCCGCAGCGGCCTGGAGCTTCCGCAAACGAGCCGAGCGCCACACATCGAAGGGCGCCTGGTCGCACTGGCCCTGCTGGATGTGGGCGTTGTTGACCTCCTTGTGACAGTATGGGCAGATATAGAGATATTGATAAGTGCGAGTCTTGGCCTTCACAGCCCCGAGCTTCTGCATCGCCTTTTGCCCGCGCGTCTTGGAGATGACGAGCCGGGCGGCCTTGCGATTCGCCTTCGGAACCGGCGGCGGTGGCGGAGGCATCACAGGCGCAGGCGGTGGCCGCGGGGCAGGTGCGGCCCGCGGTGCACGAGCTGGAAGGACGTGCTGCCGGGCGCCCGCCGGCGCTCCCTTGGCGATCGGCGGAGGCGGTGTCTTGCCTCGCAGGCGGCGCCTCGGCGGGGCGGCCGCAGGTGGCGGCGGCTGCGGCGGTGCTGCCAGAGGCACCCGGCCCAGTGGAACGGGCGGAGGAGGGGTCTTGCGACGCAGCCGGCGCGAGGGCGCAGGAGCAGCCAGCGGTGGGCCAGCCTTCGTCGGCGCCTTGGCCTGGACCCGCTGCCCGGCCTGGCTACGCGCGTGGAGCACCGGGCCGGCACGCTTCGAGCATGACGAGTAGTGGATCCGCAAGTGAACAAACATCTTGCCACAATACTCGCACTGCTGCGGGGCCTGCACCCTCGGCGGCCGGCGGCCCGCCTTCGCCCGAGCTTCGCACGCCAAGAAATGCTGCTTCCAAGTTTTCTGAGGCAGCTCGCGACTACAGATGCCACACACGTAGAGGCCAGTCGCAGTCCGAGCAGCCTGTGTCATAGCCTCGGCGGCGCGCGCTCGCTCCGGGGCGGCGGCCTCGCGCCGAGCTCGGCGTCCCTCCTCGGTGTCTGCAGCCTCCTTGACCCGCTGAGCCTCGACCCACTTCTTGATGGCAGCCTTCCAGCGATCACCCTTCTGCGGCGTGCCAGATCCTTCGCAGGCCAGAGTCGCCCACTGACTCGCCAGAACGCCTTCCAGCGCACACAGCTCTTGAATCCGTGCCCACCACTGGCCCCGGATGGTCTTCTGCGAGCCAGACGTCGTCTCAGCACCGGGCACCAGCCAGACCCACAGGGCCCGCCTTTCCGTCCTGCTCTCTGGGAGGCGTGCGCCATGGCCAGCATAGCGGAGCTGCCTGCTGCCTACCATGATTCGCACACTGTCGATGCCAAACCCCTTCCGAACGTCAGTCATGGTTCTGGTGCCCTTCATGTCTGTCATCTTGGTGTGAGTGGCATTCCGGACGACTCTGTCGAGGAAGACCTGGTACTGGTCAAGCTCCCGCTGCGAAAACGCCCTTGTCTCGCAAGCATACAGCAGGCTGCCCACCACCGAAGATTGCAGAACCTGACGCACGTGCTTAGTGCTCAACCTCAGGCGCGGCAGCTGCTTGTACAGTCTCCACCAGATCCTCTTTGCCTTCTCCAAGCGGTGGTAAGAATCGTCGGCCATATCGTTGAGAGAGTCAAACCAGGAGCCCAGCAGCTTGGCGGCCCGAACGCAGTCGTCAGGAATCGGCGGCTCGCCGGGAGTATGACGTCCGAAAGCGACGCTCTCCGTCTTGCCTGGGTGCACCGTCTCACCGAACACAGCCAAGACCCGAGTCGTGAGCTCCAGGATCTGGGCCCGAAAGTCCTCCCGATGCAGCAGGGATGTGTCGTCGGCGAAACACACCGGCATGGCCCGCAAGAGTTCCGCGCTCTCCAGCACGCGACAACGGCCAAGCTTGCCCCGAGACTTGTCCAGACGCTGGCCGATCATTTGCTTGAAGGTCACGAATGCTTCTGGTGGAAGCTCGGCCAGGAGAGTCTTCTCGAGCTGCTGCAGCGCCACGTTGTGGTACATGTTGAACTCCACACACGAGGCCGGACAGCCTTCGCGGAGGCCCCGCTGGAGCGAATACGGCTCAGAGTCGCCGTCCGCCGTGCGGACGATGTACTGCGTCTGCTCGATCAGCCCGCGGATGACCTGCAGGAGAGACTCGGGAACCCCGACGTTGTCGAGGACCGCCCAGAGCCCGTTCAGGGACTGATTAGCGTAAGCCTTCTTGATGTCGAACAGTGTCAGCATCACCCTCTTGGCCTCCGGAGGCAGCAGGCCCCTCGTAGAGATCTCTGCGATCAGGCGCACGAGCAAGATGGCATCGAGAGTGCCGCGGTGGCTGCGGAAGCCCCACTGCTCATTGATGAAGAGGCCAACGGACTCCCCGTAGGCAGACAGGCGTTGAGACACAATCCGGGCGATCGTGCGAGAGATCAACGTCAAGAGAGAGATCAACCGGTAGTTGTCCAAATTCTTCTTGGACCCCTTCTGCTTGAAGAGGGCAATGCCGACCGACACGCTGACGGACTCCTCCCACTCCTCCGGTGGTGTTGTCCAGAGACGGCGAACGAGGTCCCGCAGCGCTGCCCGCATCTCTGGGGCCGACAGTCGGATCAGCTCGATGCGGACCTCGTCGTGGCCAGCGGCGCTGGGACGCATCTTGCGCCAGGCAAGGTCGATCTCCTCATCCTCCGGGGGTTCACCCAAGCCGAAGGACTTCGGCCGAGGCGGCGGCAACTCAAGAGCTTCGACATCCACCTCGTTGGGTTCAGCTCCAATCTTCGCGAAATGCTCGGCGATCTGGTCAGACGTGAACTCCTGTTGTCCCCGCGTCGAGAACTTGGCAAGATCAACCCCGAGAGACCGCAGACCACGATAAAATCTGCCCATGTCCTGCCAGTGCAGTGCTTGTTCAAGATCTCCACAGACAGAGCTGACCCACTGAGCCTTCCAGCGGCGCTTGTCGCGCTTGAGAGCAGCGCGAGCCTGTCGTAACGTGGTTCGGGCCTGAGTCGCCGTCGGCACATCCTTCGACTCCTTGACCGCTGTCAGCAGGCGCTCAATCTCGGCATGCCGCTTGATGGCCTCCTTGGCGTGGCCCGCCAGGTATGGTAGCCCGATCCGCTCAGGGTCGCGCCCGGCCGTGTCCTCGCAAGCCTTCACCATGATGCCCGCCAAGACTGTCCAGGAGCCGTCCGGCGGTGCCTGCTGCATGGCCTCGGCGGTCTTGGCAGAATAGTCGTCGCACAGCTGCTTCGCCTCCGGGGAGCGGCCCTTGAACCTCGAGACTGACAGCGGGCGTGGCCGCTCCGGGCGCTCCACGCGGAAGCGACGGCGGCTCTTCATCGACGCAGCCAGCGTCAGACGGCATAGCTTGCCGTGGTGGTCCGAGAAGCTCGCCGGGAACACCTTCCAACCGTGCATGCGCCTGGAGGCCCGAGGATCTGCCAAGAAGACGTCCAGCTCGTACCACTTTTTGGTCGGCGGGTGCTGCCAGGTGCCACGAGAATAGATAGGAGCAAAAGAATCCGCGAGCCGCAACTTGCGGCCAGACAGCGAGTCCTGGAGCATCGATCCGCTGGCCGTGGTAGGGGTCGAGAGCCTGTGGGTCCCGACGTGGGGGCTCGGAAGAGCATCCTCGCCGATGTGGCTGTTGAGATCGCCCGACAAAATTACGACCGCACCCTGAGGAAGCTGACCAATCGCAGAATCGACATCCGCCACGACTTGCCGCCGAAGATCGTGATGTCTACTGGACGGCAGGTAGACGCAGAGGCACGCGTACAGGACCCCCTTCATGAGCAGCGTGATGGCCAGCACGTGCTCGCCGACCCTCCACTGCTGACTGCCAGCCGCGTGCCACGCCTTCATAGCCGAGTGGGACATGATGAACGCCGTACGGTGCCCAACAAGCAGCGTGAACTGCTCCACACAGACCGTCGCCGGCTCTCGAGTGTGCACGTCGCTCAAGAAGCCGATGTCCCACTGCAAGCCCTGCGCCTTCCGGACCAGGGCGGCCAGCTTGTCGACATTGTCGTTCCGAGCCCAAGCCAGACCCTGAACATTGACTGAAGCAAGAATCGCATCCTCCGAAACATCCAACGATCGCTGATGAGAAGCACGATACAAATATCTCTCTCTGCGCACATTGCGACCAGTTCCATTGCAAACACTGCGCTGAATACAGTTGGCGTAGTTCACTACACCGGTGCCTCGCCGCTCCGAAGAACAGCTGCTGAGAGTACGAAGTTCCGCGCCGTCCGAAGACTGCGCGAGGTCGCCGCGGCCCCCCCTCAACACGCCGACAACCCTCCATGCGGACGGCGACCGAAGCCACCGCCTGCGCTGAGTGCTTTCTTGTCGCCATGCCTCACATTGGTTACTCTCCTTACGTGCTGACCGGCGATCCTCCCGACCCCGCGTAGCGGGAAGACTCATTGTCGGGCCTGGGTGGTGCACGCGATCGTCACGCCGCGCTCGCGCTCCTCCTTCTGGCGGTCCATGTAGAATGCGAAGGCGAAGGGGCCCTTGCCCAGGCGCTCGGCCTCCGCCTTCAGCTTCTCGAGCTCACGCTCGGGCAGCCCGCCCAGCTCGAAGATGACGCGCCCCGTGTTGGTGCTCGCACCGCTGTCGACATGGCCCCAGATGACGATGGACAGGTGCTCCTTCTCAGAGTTGGCGGGCATGGCTGGCCGAGTAATTGCACCACCGCCCTCGGAAAAGTGGGCCGATACGCCCTGTCAGGCAAACGCCTGGAGCCAAAACGTCTTCGGAGGAGGGGGGGGGGCGGAGCCAGGAGGACGGGGAGCCAGGTGCACTTGGAACTGATGGGAGACGACGCTTTGAGCGAGAGGGGCCCAGGGACTCGACCTGCAGCCGTGGGGCTGGCTGGCTCCTGCTGTTGGTTGTCTCGACCGACCTCGAGGCCGGCAGGCGGCAGTGCCACCCCTCTGCCTCTTCGGAACGACGGCCGCGACGCCCTGGCAGTACGCCCCGAACCAAGACGGGTGCGGAGGCGAGGCGCAGAGAAAGGCGAGAGGGGGGCGCGTGTCTGCGGCAACGCTCGCCAATGAGCGGGCGCACTTCTCTCGGAGCACGCTGGACCGCAGCCCCACCAGGCCTCGTTCGGCGGCGAGCCGAGAGGGGGGAAGTGGGAAGGAGAAGGCCTTTTTCAGAAGGTTCGGAAGGCCCCCGGCCTTCTGAGAATTTGTTCGAAGCCTTCCTCGAAAACAGAAAAGCCTTCCCAGAAGGCGCGATGGTTTCTGACAAGTCCCGCCGCCTTCTGAGAAGGCCCTCTCCTTCTCGAATTCTTGACGCTTCGCGTATCCCCGCCATCCCATCCTACACCAGGCGCTCGAACGAAGGGCGCCGATGACCGGCAGCTGTTTTCCTCCCCCTCTTCCTCCTCCTCCGCTTTTTCCTCCTCCTCTTCTCCTCCTACTCCCTCATCTCCTGCTCCTGCTCCTGCTCCTGCTCCTGCTCCTGATCCTGCTCCTGCTCCTGCTCCTGCTCCTGCTCCTGCTCCTGCTCCTCCTCCTCCTCCTCCTCCTCCTCCTCCTCCTCCTCCTCCTCCTCCTCCTGTTCCTCCTCATATTCCTCTTCCCTGGTGGCGTCTTGGAAGTATCTTCGAAAGTTTTGGTGGGCTCTTGGGCCTTGCGGGCGGGCGGGCGGCGCTCCACCCGCCCGCGCGGAGGGCCAAAGAGGGGGTTCAAGACGTCTCTCGGAGCCATCTTGGAGGAGATCGATCAACGAAGGGGGGTTCCTAAATTTCAGCCCCCCCCTCAGGAGCCACGATCCTCGTGAGGGGTATCGAAGTTTAGCCCTCCCAGGGGTCGATCTTGGACGCTCTGACCGATCGCGGCCCCCCCTGTCCAGGTCAGCGGGGAGGGGGTAGGGGGAGGGGTAAACCCCTCCCCGAAGCGGAAGAAGGAGGGGTGGAAGAGGAAACTCGTTAAACCACCGACGCCCTAAAGGGCTGGTGGGATTCCCCCCCTCGCTCGCCGCTGACTCGTGGTGTACGGCTGATTCGCGGCGCGACACCCTGCGCCTTGGTTCCTGCCTAACGACCAGACCACCCCAACCCAACCCGAAGACCCCAATTTGACCCGAGTGTCGGGTTGGGGGGTACGGGTTCCATGTGTCTTTTCAGTGTTCACCCGACCCCCCCCCCCATCCCCACTGGAAACGAAGGGGAAACAATTTGAGGCCTTCGGGTTGGGTTGGGGTGGCTTGGTGGGTGGTGAGTTTCGAGCACCGCAGAGACGGATCCGCCTCGAGCGATCGCGCCTCTCCGACAGCGGCACTCGTTCGACCGCGGCCGACGCCTGCCCCCGCGACGGCAGTTCAAACCGGAACGCGCGCGCGCGCGCCGGGGGGTCGCCGTCGCGTCGACGCGGCGCGAGCCTATCGCAGGACAGCGTCCATTTCGGAAGGAGTTTCGGCCCCGTGTAGCCAGAGCACGGTCCTCGGAGAGGGCGCACGATGGTCCACACTGGACTTCGGCACGGCTCCAAGAGGCCGTGAGGAGGAGTGATGAGGAAAGGGTGAGGAGCAGAAGGGTGACGAAGAGCACGCTGATGTTTTCGAAGAAGCCTGTCACGAAATCGAGTCCTAGGCCGCCTTGGGGGTGATCTATGGCCGTCTTGGGCTGGAGAGGATCCACCAAGCGCATGCGAGGACATCAATTGCTCTTGCGCCTCGGGGTCCTCGTGGTAACCCTCTTGGACCACTCCTGGGGAGACCTTGGAACTTCTGGAGCAACCTGAATCCCTCCATGGGCCGCCTTTGATGACTTCACTTCCGCTCGGGCCGTCTTCTGGGCATCTCGGAGATCTCCTGACCCGGGTCAATCCAGACCCAGGTCAGTCAACCCTTGCAACAGTCCTGCAAGATCCTGCAGGATCCTGCACCCAAGCCCGGGTCAACGCGCAGGATCCTGCACCCAAGCCCGTGTCACTGTGGCCCTGGCCCTGCAGGATCCTGCAAGATTGGGCGCTCTGGCCGACCCCCGTTTGCACTGGACCCCCGTCTCGAGGGTTTCCGGGCTGCGTCGGTGCCGCCGTGGGCCGCCCTGGAGGGGCCGCCTGGCCGCACACTCTCGACAGGCCCCCGACGAAACCGTCTGGGCGGTTGGCGCCCCAGCCCAATAAGAGCCCGCGGGGCTCGGGTCCCGCCGCCCCCTTGGGACGAAGGGGCCCAAGGGCACACCAACGAATGCTTTTTAGTCAGCAGCCGCAGGCGGGAGCGCAAGCGGCGAGTCGAGTCAGAGCGGGCCGCGCAAAGACGAATTACCGAACGCCGGCGGGGCCTCAGGCTCACCAACGAATACGCGTACGTCCCAGGATCCCCCCGCATGTTTACACGGTTTTCTGTTGCTCCCACCGTACCTCAAGACCACATCCCAGAAATCGTTTCGAGCACCTGGAAGAGTGTCGCGATAGTGTCGAAAGAGTGTCGAGACGAGTGTCTCCCAGGGCCCGACCACGTGAGAACCCTCGAGTTTCGGTACGTTTTGGTGCTCGGATTTATTTTTGGCTATCCAGGCTGAAGTAAATTGGAACATCATAAACAAAGTTTCGCGCGTTTCGTCTCTTCCTCCGCTTCCCAGAGACTTTCCCGATAATCGGCGATTCTGCGCGTCTGTGCTGCCTCCACCCCGATCAACTGGACGATGGCGATTCAGAAGAACAACGGTGACACAATCAAGAAGCAAACTTCTGCCGCTGAAGAACAAATTGTCGGGGCGCGCGCCCAATCACCCAAATGCCGGTGATGCTGCCAACGAAAAGGTCTGGCACCCAATTCGTGCTTCCCCCTGGCATTTCTGCAACGCCATCCTGCATGACGGCTACATCCGGACAGGAAGTGGGAAATCGGGGAGGCCCCAGACTTCCGATGTCCTAACGTGTTCAGTGCCTGGGCTCGCGAGCCCTCAACCCATCGCCAGGGATCGGTCTGTCACCCCAGATCGTTTTTTGAAACAGGCCCAGAGACCGAACTCGGCAAAACCTTCGTCCTGAATTTGTTCGAGACGTTTGAGGTCTGAGGGGACACAAGTGCATCCGACCTCGCAAGAAAGTCACAGCGCCGTGACAAATCACCAAAGATCCCAACGCCTTGTGGACGCGGGATCTACCGAGACCCATCGATTCGTGAGTGCCCCGGCGCGCGGAAACGGCGTCTGTCGTCGTCATCGTCGTCGTCGCCGTTGTTCTCGTCACTGTCGTTTCCTCAAGTTGTTGAACAGTCCCAAACTTCTTGGGGCCCGTAAAAATCTCTGGAGGCCTCTGGAGACTTGCGGGGGCCTCTGCGCTAACCCCCTCCCTGGCGCGCAGAAAGCGCCAGGGGCCGTGCCAGAAAAGCCGACAAGCGACCCTCAACCTGTCCCCTGCAGATGCCGGAAGACGACGCAGACACGAACTTCCGCCGACCTGCGAGGACCTGCCAAAGTTTGGGCATGAAGGCTGCTTCTTCTTCGATCCTCGAGGTCCTCGAGATCCTCGAGGTCCTCGAGAATTCCTCGAAGTCAGCCCTCGAAGTCCTAGCAGTCAGCCCTCGAAGTCCTCGAGGTCCATCCTCGAAGTCCTCGAAGCCAGTCCTCGAGTCAGTCCTCGAAGTCAGTCCTCGAGGGCCTCGAGAAATCCTCGAAGTCAGTCCCCGAAGACCTCGCAGTCAGTCCTCGAAGTCCCCGAGGCCCACCCTCGAGGTCCTCGAGATCCTCGGAGCCCGTCCTCGAGCTCCTCGATCCTCGGTCCTCGCCCAGGCCCGGGGACACCCGTGGGGGCGCACGGGGGCCTCATGCGGCGGTCCGCCGGGCCCGACTTGGCGGACTCGATCTGGGCCTGCGGCGCCCCGCCGCCGCGGCGGCGCGCTGCGAGCACGAGCACGAACGCTGACGACGACGACGACGGCGACGACGACACACGACGACGACGACGACGACGACGACGACGACACACGAAGACGACGACGACGACGACGACGACGACGACGACGACGACGACGACGACGACGACGACGACGACGACGACGACGACACACGACGACGACGACGACGACGACACACGACGACGACGACGACGACGACGACGGCGACGACGTCGACGACGACGACGGCACACGCGACGACGACAACGACTGACGAACGACGACGACGACGACACACGACGACGACGACGACGACGACGACGACGACGACGACGACGACGGTGACGACGACGACGACGACGACGACGACGACGACGACGACCACGACGAATGTGAAGACGGAGACGGCCACCCTCCCGCGCACCTGTCTGGTCGACCTGGCCTGGAGGGGTATGAGGGGCGACGCCAGGGGGGGGGAATAGGCTCAGGGGGGGACGCATCGACCCTGAATTGAGAGGAGAAATAAGTACCGATGCTGCTACACTTGCCTCATTTTCCCTTTTTTGTACCTCCGGGGAGGCCCTCGTCGCCACCGCTGGATTCATGTCGCCATTCTTGTCATAACGCACCCCAGAAGGGGTCTGGGGAGTACCAGTATCGGTACCTCTCGGTTTCCCCATGAATCGTCCATCGATCGCCAACAAGGGCCCGATAGCACACCACGTCCAGGACCGTGCAGAGTCGCTATCGGGGGCCAATCGCCGATCTGTCGGCGACGTGTCGCCGATTCGACTTCGATGCTTTCCCCATCCCTGGTCCCACTTCCCCCTAGAGCGTTGCCCCCGAGTGGAGGGATTGCGGGGCCAGGGCCAGCGGTGCTTGGCGCCGAGGGCGCATCGCTCTGGGCGGGCCCCGGAGCCAGGGAGACACGGCTCTCGAGACACACCTCGTCCTCCTCCTCGTCTTCCTCCTCCTCCTCCTCCTCTTCCTCCCCCTCGGGCGGCCCCTGGGACGAGGGGGACACCGGCGCCTCGAGCCGCGTCCGCTCGCCCCCGCTCTGCGGCAAGTGCGCGCCGTGACGACTCCGACGTTGCCTTCTGACACCGCGCGGATCTATCCACCCGAAACGATCGGCGGCCTGTCGTCAGGTCGCTCCATAGTTGAGCAGGGGCCGACCGTCCCGGCAGCCCTATAGTCCTACCACGACATGTTCTTAGAACCCAGCCATGTTCTGAGACCAGAACCAATGCTCTCAGGACATAAGCCCGACGTGTTGAAACAAGCCAGTCCCAGCCAGACATGTTCTAAGAACATGTCGCAAAAGGTCCTTAGCACATTCTCTGGTAGGCCCATAGGCAAGCCGGGACGCTTCGCTGCTGCTTGACATAGTGGCAGGAGAAGGAGGAGGAGGAGGGGGGGGGGAGGAGGAGGAGGAGGAGGAGGAGGAGGAGGAGGAGGAGGAGGAGGAGGAGGAGGAGGGAGGAGGAGGAGGAGAGGAGGAGGAGGAGGATGGAGGAGGAGGAGGAGAGGGGGAGAGGAGGAGGGGAGAGAGGAGGAGGAGGAGGAGGAGGAGGGGGAGGGGGAGGGGAGGAGGAGGAGGAGGAGGAGGAGGAGGAGGAGGGAGGAGGGAGGAGGAGGAGGAGGAGGAGGAGGAGGAGGAGGAGGAGGAGGAGGAGGGGCCACGACTCGGGGCCGCCTGCGGCGTTCGACGCTGGAGCGCCCGCGCCGGGGTCTCGCCGCCGCGCCGGCACGACGCGACGCTGCCGCACTTGCCTGCGCTCAACCTGGCCTGCGGGGAGGCGCTGCGCAGGGCCAGCGGTGGTGCCAGGAGGCATCCAGAAGGCTCCGATAGGTTCCTCCTCCTCCTCCTCCTCCTCCACCTCCTCCCTTCCTCTCCTCCTCCTCCTCCTCCTCCTCCTCCTATCTTCCTCCTCATCCTCCTCGTCTTCCTCCTCCTCCTCCTCCTCTTCCTCCCCCTCGGGCGGCCCCTGGGACGAGGGGGACACCGGCGCCTCGAGCCGCGCCCGCTCGGCCCCGGCCCCGTGGCAGGCTCGCGTCGCGACGACCCCGACGTGGGCCCCTGCCACCGCGCGGATGGATCAACCTTGGACCATCGGCGGCCTTTCTATATGGCCAGATCGCTCCACGCTTGCGGGCAGTACTTCTGTCCATCTCCACTGCAGTATGGAGTTTCGGGCTCCCTTCCCCAGGAGCCCGAGGCGCCCTGGATGTGGATAAATGTGCCACCTAGAGGCTAGGATTTTATCCGTATCCAGCGCGCCTCGGCATTGTGGAAGCCACTTCCAAGAGAGTCCAAGACGCGCTGGACATGGATATCAATCTTGTCCACACACATTGGCCGATTCTGAATCACCAGGAGAGCCCAGATTCGAATGGATAAATCGGATCGGCAATCGAAATGAATCGGATCGGCGGAAATCGGCAGCCGAGTCGGGAGAAGTCGGCTTGGCGGAGATCGGCAGGCTTGCATGCCTCCAACAAGCAGTCGGAACCCGAATCGGAACCCCAAGGCGAACCGACTCGGCATCGGAAGCCTTCGAAACCGAGTCCCACCGACTTGGAGGCATCGGCACGAGCCCCGAATCCCTGGTGGCGTTCCGCCTCGAGCGCTGGCGGCGGGGTCGCAGCCGCGCCTGCCGCGCCTCGGGCCAGCACCCCCCGCCCTAGTAGCGGGACGCGGCCGCTGGGTCGGCCCGTGGGCGTGCCGGCTCCCTGGCGCCTGTCCCAAGGCCTTGATGGGCTTGATTTTTCCACCACCACCACCACCAGAAGGTGGAGGGGGAGGGGCTCCTCCGCCTCCTCCTCCTCCTCCTCCTCCTCCTCCTCCTCCTCCTCCTCCTCCTCCCCCTCCCTCTCCTACATATGGTGGTGGTGGTGGAAAGTGGGCGCATCAGGCCTGGCGCTTCTCCGACAGCAGCACGCGGATGGGTTTTCCCCACGGCGGCGCGTGTCATCGACCCTGTTGTGGGTGACCCAGAAGGGGATCCAGCTGCAGGGGGGCTGTGAAATAGAATCGGGGTAGTTGTATTGCAAGTGTACTGCGGCGGCGGAAAACTCGACTGCACTGTGTTGCAACTCGTGCGTTGCACGAGGAAGCCAGAAACCCACAAGTGTAGTGCACCATATCTATTGCACCACCCCCTTGTCGCTGGACCCCCTTTTGGGTCAACCCGAAGTGTCCTGCTCCCCAAAACGGTCAACGATTCCTCCAACTCCTGCGCAGGACCCGCTATTGGTGTCGCCGCCGGCGGGGACGGTCCACTTGGATTCGAAGTCGTCCAACGGACGCTGCCGCCTCTGGACAGCACTCGCTGGTGGGCATCGTGCCCGTTTGTCTACCCACGGCGACGGGTCGCGTCTTTGTGGAAATGCTTTGGGGATGTTCTGACCCGGGTCAATCCAGACCCGTGTCAGCAGGAAACCAACCACTGCAATGCAGGAACAAAAATTAGCCTGGCGAAGGACCCAACCATATGCAATTGTGAATGCCGCAATTGTGCTGGGTGGTGGCGGACGCATGCGGGCGGTGCCACTGGGACCTTCGGTGGAGCTCCCTATGGGGCCACGAAACGCTGTACTGGGTGGGTGAGACGCGGTCAGCAAGGGCTGTGCTGCGTGGTGGCGGACGCATGCGAGCGGTGCCACTGGGACCTTCGGTGGAGCTCCCTATGGGGCCACGAAGCGCTGTACTGGGTGGGTGAAACGCAGGCAGGGAGCAAGGGCTGTGCAGGGTGGTGGCGGACGCATGCGGGCGGTGCCGCTGGGACCTTTGGTGGAGCTCCCTATAGGGCTACGAAGCGCTGTTCTGGGTGGGTGAAGCGCAGGGAACAAGGGCTGTGCTGGGTGGTGGCGGACGCAAGCGGGCAGTGCCACTGGGACCTTTGGTGGAGCCCCCTATGGGGCCACGAAACGTGCAAGGGGTGTGCCAAAATGGGGTGTGGAACCGCATGCCAGCGCAGCCACTGGAGCGTTCGGTGGAGCTCCCCATGGGGCCACGAAATGTGTGAGGGGTGTGCCAGAATGTGGGGTGGAACCGCATGCGGGCGCAGCCACTGGGGCCTTCGGTGGAGCTCCCTATGGGGCCACGAAACGTGTGAGGGGTGTGCCAGAATGGGGGGTGGAACCGCATGCGGGCGCAGCCACTGGGGCCTTCGGTGGAGCTCCCTATGGGGCCACGAAACGTGTGAGGGGTGTGCCAGAATGGGGGGTGGAACCGCATGCGGGCGCAGCCACTGGGGCCTTCGGTGGAGCTCCCTATGGGGCCACGAAACGTGTGAGGGGTGTGCCGAAATGGGGGGGGAACCACATGCGAGCGCAGCCACTGGGGCGTTCGGTGGAGCTCCCCATGGAGCCACCCACGAAGCGTGTGAGGGGTGTGCCGAAATGGGGGGTGGGACCGCATGCGAGCGCAGCCACTGGAGCGTTCGGTGGAGCTCCCTATGGGGCCACGAAACGTGTGAGGGGTGTGCCAGAATGTGGGGTGGAACCGCATGCGGGCGCAGCCACTGGGGCCTTCGGTGGAGCTCCCTATGGGGCCACGAAACGTGTGAGGGGTGTGCCAGAATGGGGGGTGGAACCGCATGCGGGCGCAGCCACTGGGGCCTTCGGTGGAGCTCCCTATGGGGCCACGAAACGTGTGAGGGGTGTGCCAGAATGGGGGGGGAACCGCATGCGGGCGCAGCCACGGGGCCTTCGGTGGAGCTCCCTATGGGGCCACGAACGTGTGATGGGGTGTGCCAGAATGGGAGGTGGAACCGCATGCGGGCGCAGCCAGCTGGGGCCTTCGGTGGAGCTCCCTATGGGGCCACGAAGCGTGTGAGGGGTGTGCCAGAATGGGGGTGGAACCGCATGCGGGCGCAGCCACTGGGGCCTTCGGTGGAGCTCCCTATGGGGCCACGAAACGTGTGAGGGGTGTGCCAGAATGGGGGGTGGAACCGCATGCGGGCGCAGCCACTGGGGCCTTCGGTGGAGCTCCCTATGGGGCCACGAAACGTGTGAGGGGTGTGCCAGAATGGGGGGTGGAACCGCATGCGGGCGCAGCCACTGGGGCCTTCGGTGGAGCTCCCTATGGGGCCACGAAACGTGTGAGGGGTGTGCCAGAATGGGGGGTGGAACCGCATGCGGGCGCAGCCACTGGGGCCTTCGGTGGAGCTCCCTATGGGGCCACGAAACGTGTGAGGGGTGTGCCAGAATGGGGGGTGGAACCGCAGCTCCCTATGGGGCCACGAAACGTGTGAGGGGTGTGCCAGAATGGGGGGTGGAACCGCATGCGGGCGCAGCCACTGGGGCCTTCGGTGGAGCTCCCTATGGGGCCACGAAACGTGTGAGGGGTGTGCCAGAATGGGGGGTGGAACCGCATGCGGGCGCAGCCACTGGGGCCTTCGGTGGAGCTCCCTATGGGGCCACGAAACGTGTGAGGGGTGTGCCAGAATGGGGGGTGGAACCGCATGCGCGGCGCATGCCACTGGGGCCTTCGGTGGAGCTCCCTATGGGGCCACGAAACGTGTGAGGGGTGTGCCAGAATGGGGGGTGGAACCGCATGCGGGCGCAGCCACTGGGGCCTTCGGTGGAGCTCCCTATGGGGCCACGAAACGTGTGAGGGGTGTGCCAGAATGGGGGGTGGAACCGCATGCGGGCGCAGCCACTGGGGCCTTCGGTGGAGCTCCCTATGGGGCCACGAAACGTGTGAGGGGTGTGCCAGAATGGGGGGTGGAACCGCATGCGGGCGCAGCCACTGGGGCCTTCGGTGGAGCTCCCTATGGGGCCACGAAACGTGTGAGGGGTGTGCCAGAATGGGTGTAGGAGGGGGGGGGGGGGAGGAAGGGGAGGAGGGGGGGGGGGGGAGGAAGGGGAGGAGGAGGAAGGAGGAGGAAGGCACGCGGGGCGACGTCTCTTCAAAACGAGGACCCAACACCACAGGATGGTTGGGAAAAAATTGCAACGCAGGTCTGCACAAGCCCGGGTCAACCAATACGCGCGGCCGCCCCGCGGCCACGAGCGGCTCGCCAACCCGGGTCAGCCAGTGGGGGTCTTCGCAGGATCTCGGGTCGGGCGAAAGGGGGGGATAGCAAAGGGGGGGGTTGAGAATCAGCTCACGCAGCTGATTTTCCCGGCGCCGGAGGCGCCTGTGTTTCGAGGAATGGGCCCCTCAGTGGGGCCGAAACCAGCTGCACGCAGCAGATTTCGTACCCCCCCCTTCCCCAATCCCCCCTTTCGTCCGGCCCGAAGGATCCGGTGCCCTGGCTGACCCCCAGTTTGCACTGACCCCCGTCTCTCGAGGCTCCCGAGTGCCTGTGCTGCCCGACAGCCTCCGGCCGGGCCGCCCTCCCCCTCTGCCCCCCGCCCCCCCTCGACCTCTCCGCGCCAGATGCCCCGGCAGCGCGAGCGCGCGCGCGGGGTCCTGGGCAGAGACCGGACGAGCCCACCCCAAACCACCCCTCCGAGCGTCCTCCCTCCACCCCTGAAGGGGCCCACAGACACACAAATAAATACACACAAATGAAAATATCCCCCATATTTTCCAATATTTCCGGGGTTGCGTCTTCCCCCACACTTCCCATATTTTCCCATGTTTTCTGGGAGTCGCCGATTAATTGTGTCTGTGTGTTTTTGTTCCCTCCTGAACCCCGTCCTCGCTCCGCCCCGAGGATCCCCGGCAGGGGGGAATGCCGTCCGCTCCTGGGCAGGATGGGCGATCGGACCTCCATGGGCAATCATTGGGCAATGGGGGGGTCGCTGCATCTTCCATGAGTCCATCCCCACCACGTTGCCCCTGCAGATGCCGGGGCCGGAAATAAAGAACGGGGGAGGGAGGAGAGAACGTCCTGCTCCTCCTCTTCATCCTCCTCCTCCTCCTCCTCTTCCTCCTCTTCCTCCTCCTCCTACTCGCGATGGTATGACGCTGGAATTGCTCAATCTCCACCACCTGGGACCCAGATGTTCTGGGACCCTCGGGGGCGGCGGACTTCGCAAGCGTGCCTGCGCTCTTCGCGGCACACCCCCCACACGCTTCGTTGCCACATACGTCAGGTTCGATCGGCCGTTTCCGAAATGTCAGATCGTTCAACATTGACCGATTCTGGGTCGCCAGCGGTGTTCAACGTTGAACGCCAGCGGCGGGGTCGCCGCTGGACGACACGGCACGAAACTACCGTAGGGAGCTTCACCGAAGGCCCCAGTGGCAGGGCTCGCACGCGTACCAGCGCCCACTTCGGGAGCTCCACCCAACCACGCATGACCAAACCACGCCGACAGACGCGGAAACCAACCGTAACGGGTTATATCCAAATGAACCCGCTACGGCTGACCTCCGTGACCCCATCCACATCCTCGCATTTGCTCGCACGCCCCCTCAGTTTCCGTCTGTCTTGCGGTGCTCGCGCCTGCATGTGGTTGCGTCCTTCGTCACGTCCTACGTCAGGCTAATGTGACGGACCCGGGGCCCCGCGAGTGCCCCCAGAGGCCGAAAAGGCCTTTCAAACCCTCCGACGTGATATTCGTTTGCTCACCGCGCGGGGAGGTCTGGGTCGCCGAGGTCCTCTCTGGAGCCCCCCATGCACACCGAGAGCGCCAGTCTCGACACTCCCTGGCCGCACGAGGACGGGAGAAACGTCATCATGCGATGGCCTCAGGACGAGAGAAACGTCATCATGGATTGCCTCATGGAGTTCCAAACTCTTGCGGCAGGCCGCCACTCGTACTCGTCGAATCGTCTCTGGCTGCGCGGGACAACATGGAAACCTGGAAAGAAACGTAATTTCTTTAGACTCAGGCGAATTTAATTGCATGGCATTTCTCCCCCGCCCGCCCTCTGCGTCGCCGCTTTTGCCAAGAGCGCTGAACCAGAAAACCGTGCAAGTGCGTCCCGACTTGCGAAAGGTCATCTTTCCCTCTCGGGCCCCACCACGCCACCCCCTCCCCCCATCCATGCAAGACAACTTGCATACATCTAAGAAAACACTACCTTTACGTCGGGCGTGATTCATCCGACGAACAAGAAAAATATTAAAACACTACTCAAAAAATGCTCCAAAATTGTCAAAGAAGACTCGGAAAATAGTCCCCTGACTATGTTTTACTATTTTTGAATGCTCCCCCTGTAGAGGGACAGGCCCGACTTCACACTACCGCGTGAACACCTGGAAATCGTGAAACGAATCACGACGTCTGGCTCCTCTAATACTCCAGATTTCGTAATAAAAGGGAGGGGGTCTGGACCCTCCAAGACAAGCCATTTCAGACATCCCCCGTGGGAGAACCCTCCAAAACATCGTCCCCAGACCCCCCAGGCCCTCCAAGATAGCCTGGAAGAGACCCCCCCCCCGAAATGAGACCCCCCTCCCTTTATTACGAAATCTGGAGTAGGCACGGCGGCGGCACGATGGCGACGGCGACGGCGACGGAACGGCACGCCGCAGCGTCTCCGAGAAGGCCCCCGCCGGCCGGCGCCTCGGTGTCGCACAGGGCGCCCTCGAGCCTGCCGCAGCCGCCCTCGGTGGAGTTCACGCCCACCTCGCCGAAGGTGTGGATCGCCTCGGCACGTCGCCGTCGTGGGAGGGGGGGAGGCGGAGGAGGAGGAGGAGCAGGAGGAGGAGGAGGAGGAGGAGGAGGAGGGAGGCAGAGGAGGAGGAGGAGGAGGAGGAGGAGGAGAGGAGGAGGAGGAGGAGGAGGCAGAGGAGGAGGAGGGGGAAAGCCCAAGTCGAACAGGCAGGTGCGGTAGGTTCGTGTCGTGCCGACGCGACGGCGAACCCGCTGCGGGCGTTCAAGGTCAGGCGCCGCGAGTGGCCCCGAATCGACCACCAGGGAGCGATCTGGCGATGGAAAGGCCGCCGATCGTTCAAGGTTGATCGATCCACGCGGTGTCAGAGGCCAACGTCGGGGTCGTCACGACACCAATCTGTCGCAGGAAGGAGGCTAGGCGGACCCACCTCGAGGCACCGGTGTCTCCCTTGGCCCAGGGGCGGGGGCGCCCAGAAAGCAATGTTCCTCTTGCCAAGCACCGCTGGGCCTGGCCCCCAAATCCCTCCACTCAGGGGCAACGTTGGCGGGGGGATTGGCCCGAGGGCGGGGGGGACCGTCGAGCCCGAAACAGCGGCACGTCGCCGATAGATCGGCGACAGGCCCCCAATAGCGACTCCGCATGGTCCTGGACGCCTGTGGGCCAGCAGGCCCCATGTCGGCTATCAGTGGACGATTGAGGGTCGATGCGCTCCCGCCCCTTTGGCCGATCCCTCCCGAACGTTGCGCTCGATTTTGGGATCCAGACTTCCCCGTGCTGTGAGAGAATCGCGACTCTGGTTGGGCGACGCGGGCGGTACCTGGGGGGGGGAAAGGTGCACTTGTCGGGGCCTACAGGCCTCCCCCCTCTCATTTCTCCTCGCACATGGTCCCCTCCTCCTCATTCGTCCTCTTCCGCCTGTCCTCCTCCTCCTTCTCCTCCTACTCCTCCTCCTCCTCGTCCTCCTCCTGGTGCTCATCCTTCGCACTCCTCACCCTGCTCCACCTTCTCCGCTGTTGCTCGGTCGCAGAGGGGTGGCGGCACCCGCGTCGTCTCACGATCGGCATGCCCTTCCCTTCGCAAACCTTCTCAATTCCCTGTTCTGTGAACACGGCCGCACGCTTGACTGTAGCTGTCATGTTGGTTGATGTGCCCCTGCATAGAAACGTGTTCGTCCTCTGCTGCCTCCAATCCTCATCCCCTGTCAAACGAGCCATCGCCCTCTCCAATCATTTCCACCTCCTCCTTCATCATCATAACCATCATCATCACCATCATCATCATCAACAACATCATCACCAACATCATCCTGGTCCTCATCATCCTCATCAACATCATCATCAACACCAATATCATCCTCCTCCATCCGCCTCCAGCCCCATCTCATCCCTCCCTCTACTCCTCCTCCTCCTCCGTCCCGTCCTCTTTCTTCCACTTGCTGTGTTGGCAAGTCATGCGCCTCATCTGGTGAATTACCCCTCGACTCTCACCCCCGATTGCCCTCTTTTACTTCCTCGGTCATATGTGACGCATGCTGCAACACACAGAGCTGAGCATACCACCGGAGCGCTCCCGGCCATGATTGCGTTAAACTGCTTGCCACATGCAGAGGACAATGTAGCGACGAACGCGTCCATGTCCTGCGCGTGATGGACGTTGTGCCAGCGGTGGGCATTGCGCACAAGGGTACAAGAGGGACCAGCAGCCTCCACCCTCATTCCTCATCATTCCTCCTCCTCCTCCTCCTCCTCCTCCTCCACCTCCCTCATTCCTGATACCCCTTGCTCCTCCACCTCATCCCCCGCGTTATAGTCGTCATGCATCGTCATCCTCATCCTCCTCCTCCTCCTTCTCCTCCCTCTCTTCCTCCTCCTCCTCCTCCTCCTCCTCCTCCTCCTCTTCCACCTCCTCCTGATCCACCCCCTGTCATCATCCACCCTCACCGCCCAATCCCCCCTCTTTATACTGCTCCCCATCATCCCTCCTCTTCCTCCCTGCACCTCCTCGGCCTCCTCCTCGCCTTCCCTCCTCCCAACTCCCCCCCGCTCCTTTGGACGCCCGAAATGGGCACGGAAAGAATGGGTACAATACCCAACAGTAAAAGTTGTCCCGAACCAACATCGGCCGCTGTTGGGCAGGCGGCCTTCTGTCTCGAATGGACACAGGCCGCGGCGGCGTGGACAGCGAGTCCTGTTCAAAATGAACAGGGACTGCTGTTGGACATTGTACCCATTCTTTCCGTGCCCATCTCGTTCGTGCAGAGCTCTTGGTCGTCCAACTGTCCTCCGTGGTTCATCTCGGTTGGTGCGGAGCTGCTCTCCACGACGGCTACCACCTGCCACCAAAAGTGGCCAGGCGCCCCATTGTGGGCCCTGGAAATGGCAAGACCGTTTTTGTTACCGGTTCCGTTTTGCCGTTTTTAGGCGGTTCCGACGCCGATTTTTTACCGGTTCCGTCGCCGTTTTTTGACCGGTCCCGGCTCCGGTTTCAATCCCGGAGCCGTTTTTCTACCGTTCCCGGTCGCCGCTTTCTTGCCGTTTCTACTTTCAAGGGGCATTTTTTTGGACACGGTGAAAAAACCGCCTTGCCGTTCTGGGGCCCACAGAGGCCAGGCTCCAAGCTGCGCTGCTTCTTTGGACGCCCGACATGGGTACGAAAAGAATGGGCACAATGCCCAACAATAAATGCTGTCCCAAACCAACAGCGACCGCTGTTGGGCAGGCGGCCTTCTGTCTCGAATGGACACAGGCCGCGGCGGCGCGGACAGCGAGTCCTGTCCAAAGTGAACAGGAACTGCTGTTGGGCCCATCTCGTTCGTGCAGAGCTCCTGGTCGTCCAACTGTCCTCCGTGGTTCATCTAGGTTGGTGCGGAGCTGCTCTCCACGACGGCTACCACGTGCCACCAAAGAAGGCCAGGCCCCATTGTGGGCCCTGGAAATGGCAGGGCCGTTTTTTACCGGTTCCGTTTTGCCGTTTTTTGGCGGTTCCGACGCCGTTTGTGTACCGGTTCCGTCGCCGTTCTTTGACCGGCTCCGGCTCCGGTTCCAATCCTGGAGCCGTCTTTTGGCCGTCTCCGGTCGCCGTTTGTTTTGCCGTTTCCACTGTCAAGGCACATGTTCTGGAAACGGTGAAAGAGCGGCCCTGCTGTTTCCGGGGCCCACAGTAGAAGCCACATGCGAACCCTACCCCTACCCCCCACGATTTATGAGGGGGAGGGTGGGGTTCACTTCGTTCGGGAGCTCCTCAGAGATCGTGGGGGGCAGGGGTAGGGCTCGCACGTGGCCCCCCAACAAAGGTCGGGCCCCAGGCTGCGCTGCTTCGGTGTGGAGAGGCCGCCTCTCGGGCCGCGCCCAGGCGCCGCCCGCCGCGCTCGAGGCCGCGGGCACGCGCCCGCGCGCTGCCCCCCTGCGGCCGCCGCTGCTCGGGCGCGGCGGGGCCCCAAGCAGTGCCAGGGGTGCCCTGGGAGCCGAGGGCCGCCGCGGCGGTCGCGCCCCCCCCCCCACCCCGACAATTTGAATCACGCCCGACAAGTTAAATCACGCCCGACAGTTTACATCACGCCCCAAGTAAATCACCCCCGAGCGACAGAGGAACCAATTTTAATCGCGCCCGACAATTTAGATCACGCGCGCGTGGGAACCGAGGGCCGCCGCGGCGGTCGCGACCCCCCCCCACCCTTGACGAACGAACAACACGTGCCCATACCCATAGGAGGGTCGGAGGGAGGAGGGCCGGCTATGGATATGGGTGCGGTCTGTCGGGCCCTGGGGGGGGTTCCCGGGTTCGAACGGGGACAGCAATGCGACAACACGCGCCCATAGACCCTTCCGTCCCCCATATGGGCATGGGTGCGTGTCGCTCGTTCGTCAACCCCGAACGTCAGAGGAACCGATTTCAATCGCGCCCGACAACTTAGATCGCGCGCGCGTCGTTCAACGAAACGGGCCGGGCCCCCAGATGTGCCGGGACGGTTGCGCGGATGCGACAGGCGGCCCAAGGCTGAAGTCGGGCGTGTCCCCCTACAGGGAGATGTTGGACGAAGCGTGAAACAGATCCCAAACATATGCTAGATATTGGCCGACAATATATACAAAAAAAGGGTCCCCAGACGATTTTGTTTTTACTGTATTTGAATTTTTCCCCAATCAGAGCTTGCCTCTGTAGGGGTCCTAGCGGATATAAAGCTGAGGTGAGGTGGGCGGCCGATTTCGGTGGCCGGGGCCGGGTGCCCGGGTGCCCGGGGGTTCCCTGGGGTGCCCGGGTGCCCAGAAGTGTGGCCGATTTCGGTGGCCGGGGCCGGGTGCCCGGGTGCCCGGGGGTGCCCGGGGGTGCCCGGGTGCCAACTTGGAGGGGTGGTTGGTTTAGCAACGATAGTATTCGTTTGCACCGTTTGGGGGGGATACCTACGGCTTGCAATCGGTTGGCAACTCTGTTTAGCAACGTTTGCTAACACGTTTGCTGACTGATTAGCCGCTCGCCCTAATCGTTTGCTAACCCTCTTAGCTAAACGTTTAGCCCACGGCGCTAAAGGGTTTAGCGGTCCCCAGCTAAAGGTTTTGCATGCCACTGTTGGCCTGGAAAAATCAACATCATCTAACCTGAACCCTTGGATTGCCGAAGGAAAACTCAACGGCGCGCACGCCTGCCCCAAGGAAAATGAAAGCTACATCTCACAGAAAAACCAATGCCCGAATCATAATTACTAAACCAGCGGACCTTTCGCGAGAACAGTTCACTATCAGATCCATCTCTTTTTCCTGGACTCTTGCATTGTTTTTGTCTGTTTTGCAAAAGCGGCATTCGAATTCGAGGTTACTGAACGAGTGAAACAGCGTGCAACACCTGAATATCATCTGCGCCACCCCTGTAAACGAGAACCTCCAGGAACGCAAAAACATCCTCTAGCTCAGGCAGGCCGTCTCGCGTCCAAGTGCTATGCCACTTTGACATGGCCATGCACTTGTAAGACTGCAGTGCTGCGAAGACTAATCCCCTGGCCTTCGCCAGAAACAGCACGCGAGCCACGCGCCAGCCGCGGTCTGTCCGCACGGCAACGACGTCGCTTTCCCAACAAACGTCGTACTCGGAAAAACGAGCTTTGCCTGACACATCGTACACTGCTGCACCGCAGTGTTCTTGCAAATATACGTTCATTTTTTGGAGGCTTCCTAGGCGCAATGAGACCAAGAGACATGTCTAGCCACGGCGCGTGTTCTAAATTATGGAGAGCTTGCGAAACTATATCTCGGATTACGCCTCGGCAGTCGCGTCGGTGATCCTCACCCCGCTTGAGAAGCTGTTTGTGTTTCCTCTCCAACGCAAGGGAGTTGGGAGTAAATCCAAACCGCTTCACCGAGCCTGCGTGGTGAAGCAACGCATGATGCTTCCACATTGTCCATTCTGGCCCAAACGCTCGCTTGAAACAGTCAACGTATTTCTCACACGCAGAAAGCACAACATCACTAGAAAGCCCCAGCTTCGGATGATGCCACAATAAGTGAATCATTACACTCATAGAAAAAATCGCCTCGCAAACATCGTCGTAAATCCCCCGAGGGTAAACTACCTCACGAAACCAATGGGCCAATGGAGCGTGAATGCTTAGCACCTCGCTCTGCGTGCATTTCCAGGATTGGGCATCCCAATTTGCAGCGGCCCTCTTGGGCCCAACAACTTCCACAAACGATCCTTTGCTACCCAACCGTCCTGGCCATGTCCATGTTTTCAAAAACTCGTACACGTGGTTGGCTTTGAGGCCGCTGTCTTTTATTGCATGCATCGCGCAATGCACGGTCGTTTGAAAACAGCCTTGCAACACGTTGTGGCTCCAGTCAAAACATGTCATGCCAGTGGGATCTAGCGCGGACGACAGCAACGGACATCGCATCAAATTGAAGTCTGCATCGTTCCAGCCCAACCGTCGCTGACGTTCCTCCCACCTGCCTTTTGTCATTGCGGGCGGCCTAGACTTATGCAGCTCGTCAAGAATTGTTAATATGCATGCTGTGTTTGCCAAGTCACACTGCTTCAAACTGACGATTTCTGTGCACAGCTGGAAGTATGACGAACCGTCCAACTCGCCTGCCGCAACCCACGATTTGTTTACACAGTTTTTGCATAGCAGACACGCTTTAGTTCCACCGCTCCCTTTAGATTGCCAAATCCGCCGACCCCCTGGGTCATCGGCGTGTGAGATGCTTCCCCCCCCCCAAACCCCTCCCCGGGGAACCCTGTCTGGTCGATTTGGAGGGGGGGGGGGGGCCCACGACGAGCGACTCACGACGCTCTTCCGGGCCCAAAAAGGCCCAAATACGGGCCAAAAAAAACCCCAAGAGGCCTCCCAGACGTTCCAAGAGGCCCCCAGACGCCCCAAGAGACCGCCTAGACGCCCTAAGAAGCGCCCAGGAGGCCCCAAGAAGCTTCCAAGACGCCCCACGAGGGCTCCAAGACGCCCGAAGAGACCTCCAAGACGCCCCAAGAGACCTCCAAGAGGTCCCCGAGGAGCGCCCCAAGAGGCCAAAATCGTTGATTTTCATTTGTTTTTTTTTTCGATGTTTTCGTCATTTTCGCCTTTTCGGCCTTCCGACGCTCCAAGACAGCCCAAGAAGCTCCCAAGACTGCTCCAAGACGGCACAAGAGG